ATGCCGCGAAAGGCGCAGAAACTGTAACCGCAGCTTGCAGCGAAAGGTGCAACCGTGTCCGAAAGGAAGTCAACGCAAAGCCACCGACGCACAAGGCGCCACCTGGTCAGAGCCAAATACGGGAGGCAATCCAAGGAGCAAACGGAAGACAGCAGAGCGCCGAGCGGCGCAGAGAACAGCGGAAAGGAAGGTTAACACATCGCGATCGGCGCACAAAACGCAACCGGCTCAGGGCCACAGGGCTCGAAAAAGGCAGAACCGGAAGCAAAAGGTAGAACAGGTACGGAAAAGAGTGAGGACAAAAACGGGCTTACTTGGCAATTTTGGCCTATGAGCGAGAATTGCGTGGCGACACCATTCAGAAGTGCCGCATGTAAATTAAAAAAAATAACGGCAACATTTCGTTACAAACGCAGCTGACAAATGTGCAAAATTGGAAGTCTAAATATCGGTGAGTGAAAATACGTGCAGCGCAACAGGTGACAGCTTAATGCTCTCAATCTGCTCAGGTAGCATTCGCAACGTTCACCAACTGGAGGGAGAAGCGACGACGGACAAGGGACAAAAAAAAAACAACGGAGGGAGTAACAAAGGTCAGGGCAGTAACCAGCCACGGGATACGTGCACAGCAACCGGTTACCTACCGTACACCCCTTCAACTTGGGACCGATCAATACTAGCACCGAAAAAGGAGAGGTAAGCGATTACAGTACAAAAGAAAAAAAAAATACTTCAAAGTACATAAATGTAAGTCAAATACATAATAGTGAAGGAAAAAAGGAATGGACATAGCAAGAAAAACTAATAATGATAAGAAAGGATAGAAAAGGAACAAGAGAAAAAAAGAAAATAAACTACTACAAGGAACACAAAAAAAAGGAAAGGATGCAGGAAGAAAAAAACTAATAATAATCAAGGATATGAGAGAAAAAAAAAAAAAGACGTGAATAAATTACTAAAAGAAGGAAACACAGTGGTGACCACAGTTGGAAAAATATCACTAAATGATGATGGAAATGATAAATAATAATATTAATAACAGAGAAAAAAAGAAAAAGAAACGGAGAGTGGCTTCCAATCCGAGAATCGAACTCGGGTTTCCACAGCAAGAACAAAGAAGGCGCATGTATGTATCGGAGTTAACCCACTTGGGACAATGTACACCCTCATCAACTCCGCCTGTTTACCGTACAACGCGTGTAAAAAAAACTCGGAGTCATCAGACGGAGTATTGATAGATGGAACGAGTTAACCTACATGGTACAACATCATCACTCCACCTGATCGTCGTACAGCGCGTGTTGAAAAACACAACCTTTATTAAAAAAACACGGCCTGGTCGTCGTACAACGCGTGTTAATAAACACAAACACGCGTGTTAAAAAACACAAGAGTTTTCAGACGGAGCAATGATAGATGTGGTCCATACTATTAGTATAGTCTAGGAAAGCACGCACGAGCAAACGGGTGTACACGCAAACCACAGCGGACGGACGGCGTACGGGCATCGAGAGCAAACGGGAACACCTGGCCTGGGAGACTGCGACACACAACACAACTGCTGGCTGCCCCTTCTTTCCATGCGATCACGCTCAGTCTCTTTTCGCACTTTCATCAATCGTTGGCTTTTTCGAGTAGGCGGCAACGGTAACGACGGGTGAGGCGAGCAGTGTGTGTGTTCGAGTACTTCCCACCTATGGCCGTCCCATGGAGAAAGCGTACAGCTGGGGCCGAATTAGAATCACAAGCGGGCATCCCGGGAACTTTCACCATGGTGATGCGCAATCAATTCGTGGAAATGAGCGGATGTAGAGGCACCGGCAAGGTGACGCGCCATTTACGTATGCCAGCCCGCCAAAATCGTTGGTATGGCCTTAACGAACACTGGGACACAGCAGCGTACANAGCTGGGGCCGAATTAGAATAACAAGCGGGCATCCCGGGAACTTTCACCATGGTGATGCGCAATCAATTCGTGGAAATGAGCGGATGTAGAGGCACCGGCAAGGTGACGCGCCATTTACGTATGCCAGCCCGCCAAAATCGTTGGTATGGCCTTAACGAACACTGGGACACAGCAGCGTACACTCACAAGCGAGTGCTTGATCACACGCCAAGAAACACATCGCGCGCGTGCTTACACGCAGGGAAGCATGGCTCTCTTTGTGCAATGGATTGTGACAACAGGAATTTCATGGATCGGCTACAGCGGCCGTGGTTTTGTAAGGGACAGAGCGAAGTAGCAGAGCGGCATAGGGATACAAGCATATTACAACATAACTCACACGCGCGCGAGCGCGTGCTCACGGATTGTACACCATGTCACGAGTCGCTAGCACGCAGGGTAGAGGTCTCCAGTGTGCAAGCGGCAAGTACGTAACAGCTCCCGTTCACGGCACGGTTTATGGTGCGAGGAAGGGGATTATTGCTCCTGACCGGTGTTCGCTCATGCAACGATGCACGCACACTGACCTCTTCTTGTGCAATCGAACGACTGTACCGAGTGCGATGAGTAGTGAAGATACTCGTACCAGCTGTAGTAGCCGATGTAGTGTCGGAGCAAAGGCCTCCTTGTGGATGTTATGGTCGTATTCTTTTAGTTCAAGCTCAGGATGGTAGCTTGGTTGTGAGCAGAGGAGGGCGAGTCCAGACAGCTCTTGCAGAGGCTCCGCTGAATGCGGCCAACTACCTCTGTGGGGTTGTACTTGCGGGACAATGAATGCCCCGAACCGTAACAGAGATATTGATTGGGTCTCTGTGGGTCCATCGGTTGCTTGTTGTTTTTGTGTTGCGACGCGGCGGGAGGGAGCGGCCTCTGACTCCGCTCTGGAGAGAGGCACACATACATCACAGCACGGGACCAGTAACACATCACGCTCGTTCCTAGACGATGTAGTACCACTGCTGTGCTGTGCACCTCTCTACACTC